TCTTATGATTTATCTGATGTTTTCAGTTTGTATGTGTAGAAAGTAGTAAAAATAAAGAAAAAACATTAAGCGAGAAGGTCTGTCCAAAACTTCTACTGCTAATGTCAATAAAACCTCATTTATTTTTTCAGTTGTACAAAAAACTGAAAATCATAGACCACAGAAATGTTTCCCTTCATGTGTGAATGCATCCATGAGTTAAAGATGATGTTAAGCTTCCTCTCAGTCTATGAGAGCAGCTTAGCATGAACCTCAGAGTAAAATAATCCTTCTTTATCTCATGCAGAGCAGCCTCTGTTTACGCCATCGTTTAATCACCAAACATTATATATTTTTATTTTACTTCTTATCAGAGAATAAAGGTGCTTCTTTCCATTACCAGACTAAATACAGCTAAGTATCGTAGAAATTCATTGATACTGTAAATATTAATAGAGATCAAATGCAGTTATACTTATAAAGACCTTGTTCTGCAGCGTGACACTAGCTCTACTTTAAACTGAGCGCTTTTCTCATCCTGTGTGTTAGTTCAGTGTTCTGCTCAAGGGCACGTCAGCGGGGTGAAGGTGGTCTGGATTTGAACCTGGCTGCGAGCTCTAACAGTAAATCTCTTACTTAAGACCTCGCACTAATTTTAGAGTGTTTGCGTTGTTTCGTCCCGAGCGACCAGCAGCAGCTTCTGTTTCTGCCGTAATCTGATTCCACAGCTTCCAGGAACTAGTCAGGCCCCTGTTTACACAACAGCACAGCTGCAGAAGCATATTTCATTCAAATCTGGCAGACGAGCGAGGCTCGCCCCACAGGTGAAGGGCAGAGCGCCTAAACAACCTGAGAAGTTGAAACTTTTGCGTCCTCTGGTTTAGAGGTCGGGACAGTCTGTCCTTTAATAACTGAGCTGCGTTTACAGGCGAACCTCTCAGCAATGTTTCCATGCGCTAAAAATACTTGAGCAGCAGCAGGGTCCTCCTGCAGGTTCTCCTCTCAGCTCATTACGCCCTGCGGGATCGGCCGGAGCAGACGCAGACCTCTCAGAGGCTTTCCTCCTTACACTTCACTTTGAGCATGCTCAGTTGGGCTTTTTAAAATCAGACGCCACAAAGTTGGAGTCCAGATCCTGGATCTGTGTGTGTCATCCACTGAGGTGCTGAGCTTTCCTTTGAGGTGATCCTCGGATTCACGCGGTGCTACAGGGTTCAGGTTTGTTTGTAACCTTGATGCACGAGGAGCTGGAGGATCTAGCAAAGTCTCCACACCTGTGGTACCACCGGACCTCCAACGCCCGCTCCTGTCCTCACCATGTAATCTGGAGGTGGAGCTCTTCCTTTGAGACGGCTCTGTTACGGACACTTTGCCGAACGTTCTCGTGAAGACTGAAGACAAGTTGTTTGTTCACACGTTCGTAGTTTGACCAACATCAGATTCCAGACTCGGTAGAAGTCGGGCAGCTTACGAACTCCCCGTCAGCGCCATCTGGATGATTCCAAACCAACATTCCTGAACAAGTGGATTTACTGTTCAAATAAAGTTTGGCGATGAGAGAGCCGATTCCCGTCCCAGCGAAGGAGCAGAGAGAGCGGCTCCCCAGCCTCCCTGCTCCTCCCTCCTCTTTCTCCTTCCCCATCATCTCGTACTCCATCCAGACATCAAAGAAGTTCCCGTTCTTCCACGTGGTCAGATGCTGCAGGTAAAACCATGTCCCTTGTTGGGAATGCCAGACAGGATTTAGCATGGGAAGCTAAAGCTGAACCCCGGTGTTTCGTCCCGGGATCGATGTCCTGTGTTTAGTGATGTGTGTTTTTGTTTCAGATACGAGGCGGAGAACGCCTTCTTCTCCAGTCTGAAACTCACTGACTTCAACATCATCGACACGCTGGGAGTTGGAGGCTTCGGACGCGTCGAACTGGTATGATCTGACACTTCAGGAAATTAGATTCATCTGTGCATCACTGAGAGTCGGAGGTAGTTTTATCTGAATGTGTGGATGCAGACTCACTGTGGAAGGCCTGCCACAACAAAAAGATGGTTTCTGTGATGTCACCTACACGTTTGTGTCAGCCTTTTCTTTGGAGCCATCAGTAAGTGGACGAGAGGGCGGAGCTCTAAGCTGTCAGATAATGCTTGCTCGTGTGCTTTGATCGTCTTCATACACTGCATCACAATGATGTCCCCAAAATCCTGAACTGGAGCTCCGCCTTCAATTGGTCTGTTAGTACGGTGACCTCACAGCAGCCATGTTATTGGCCACATGATGTCATTAAAAAGGCTCCAACAGCACAAACATAGTCCAGAGGTACCGCTCAGGTGAAGCTAGCAGCTACAGGCACCTGTGTCACAATCCACCTGTCAGTTAAAGAGGCCACGCCCCTAATAATGCAAACAGGTTTAGGTAGGTTTAGTTATAAGACTTTAATGATTATTCAGGACCAGCTTAAGAGTGATTATCAGTTTAAACTTGAGTCGTGTGTGTGTGTGCGTGTGCGTGTGTGAGCTCTGCTATTCGCAGTATCTTACCAGTAAAATATCTGTGCTGGTAACTGGACACCAGTCCTCATGTGATTCAGGCTCTGCAGGTTCACAGAAACCTCAGAGTTTCTGTCCAGCGTCGCCATCGTCCTGCCGTCCTAATAAATCTGTCAGGTATCAAACATGTGACCCTGGCCTCAGGGCGCCTCACATCATAAATTCATCCACAGCTTTATCTGATTAAAACAGGTCATAGTGAGAAGGTTTGAGGTGATGGAAAAATGTAAGGGGGGGAGGGCGGGAGGCAGCGGGTGGTGCAATGCGGCTCAGGGAGTCGAGTTTCTCTGCCGCAGGAGGCGGGGCCTGAAGGTACTAAAGGTCGAAGGGGAAGCCCTGCGGAGGGTTTGCCCAAAAGCAGGAAGGAATCCCCATTCAGGGTCTCCCACCGTTCCCCTGGGGATATTTTTGGAGTGTAACTCTGCTCCAAGGAAAAAGCAGACCTCCGACCTCCCGACTGTCTCACCGCAAAGACTATGAATCATGTGACGCCTCAGAGCCATCAGCGTACCCACCAAACAGCTTCAGGTTTTATCACAACCTGCGTGGTTTCTAGGCTGAGTGCGAGTTCTCGTAAATCAGAACAGAAAAGTTGTTTGTGTTCGATTTCACTTTATTCTCGTGGACCTGATCAGGAACATGGATCCACGGTGACTGACCTCATCCCACAGTCTGTCTCCAGACGGCCTGAAACCAGCCAAGCACTGCACAGATGCATTAGAGAGGAAAACGAACCCCAGTTTACTAACGGTCAGTTTACCGTTGTCTTCACTGTGACTCTGACTCTGTTCAGTCCTTCAGAACTAATCAGATCAGTTGTTCCTGAGGTTGTTAGAAGACTTTGGTTTACAGGTTGGACAACATGTCCGAGTTTCCAACAGTCTCACAACGAGTGACTGCAGCACCGACCGAGCAGACCATCAGAAATACAGCAGCTAGTGGCAACGAGCGGGACATAACCATCAGCAGTGCAGAGCGGCTGAAAGCTGTTAAAGTCACGAACGACCGACTGACCCTGGAAGCAGCTCAGCTAAACAGTCCTTTATCAGAAGTGGAAGTTTTCCCGTGTTTGTCTGAGTGAAAAAGCTTCCAGCTGCTGCTGTTTCTCCGTCAGCACCGATGGTGTCGGTTACCGAGGAGGGGGTGACCTCTCAGACATGTCGGAGTAAGAAGTCAGGACCGTAATTTGAGGAATCGGTCCAGGAATAGAGGATTGTGTCATCGCCTATGAACAGCACACAGCGAAGTGTTTACAGCGAGAGCATGGCGGTCGGCTTACGGCACAGATTCCCCACAGAGACGCCGCGCAGCTGCTCCGCTGTTTACTGACATGTAACGAAGAGCTGATGTACCAGCAGAGGGACAGACCCCCGACAGAGCTGCGGGGAAAGTATCGGACCTCTGCTCGTCTTTGTATTTGCATACTTGTAACACTGACTCTGTCCATCAAACACGTTTTAATATTAGACTAGACTCAGCACAGAGTACAGGATTTAAATGATGATTTAAATAAAGCTTATTTGTACCTACCTGACCATTCTGAAAGTGACTGCCCTCCTCGTTAAATCTGCCCTCTGTGCCCTCTAACTGTGACCTTTTTTGGAAAGCCGACTCAAGAAATCACTTAAATAGAAGCCTGCAGGCGTCACTGGGCTCAGTTAAGGTCAGAGGTCTTCCTCATGTGATGTTTGTGTAATGTCTGTATGGTCAGAAGGGTAAGATGGCGCTGGCAGAGGTCGGCGGCCTTAACAACAAATTTCCCACACATGGGACTAATAAAGGTATAATGGTATCCTAAGGTCATCACACAGAGTTGTCTCACATCTGCCACCAAACATCTGGATGGTTCCCGAGACTTCTGGGAAATAATCTGTGGACTGACGAGACAGAAGCTGAACGTTCTGGAAGATCTGAGTCCCGTCACATCAAACTAACAGTGCTTCATAAAGAGAGCATCGCAGCGGCAGGCAGACTCCGTGGTGGTCGTGTGATGGTCTGGCTGCTCTGCTCCAGGACGGCTCGCCGTAACCGACCAGAAAACCCTGAAGGAGGATGTCCGCCCATCAGTTTGTTTTGTGATGTTCAAGAGCACTTGGTTCTGCAGCAGGACACTGATCCGAGTCAAAGTCCGGAGTTAAATCAGACGAGATGTTTTGGCGTGAAACCCCTCCAAAATGTCTGGATTCAACAAGAGGGGCCAAAGTTCCCCACAGTGATGAGAAAGACTCACACATCACAAACACTTGATTGCAGTTCTTGCTGCCGATCATGGCACAACCAGTTATTACCAGTATAAACATCCATGTGCTTCGGTAACTTTTTCCCTGAATAAATGAAAATGAAAACACAGTTTGTTGTATTTGCTCTGTTGTCTTTGTCTGATATTGAATTTTGTGATGATCTAAAACATGAAATGAGATGTGAGAGCACAAGACTGTGGACCAGTAAGTTTTTCAAAATAAAACAAAAACAAGAGTAGCATGCTTTTTTAGCTTGGAGATATTATGAAAGTGGCGCGATACACAGCGACTGAATCGCAGTTGTTCTAACTTTAGCCACATTTTGTTAAACTTTAGCCCAGAGGGTACGTCACCATCTCTGGAAGTGTTGGACCTCCTCTAGAAAATAAAGCTTCCTGGGTTTGACTGATGCAGGTGTATCTAGCTGCGTCGCTAGCTCTTTACGCCCTGTGCATTTAAAGGAAGGACCCGTTGTGTTTGTTCAGGTGCAGCTGAAGAGCGAAGAGGCAAAGACGTTCGCCATGAAGATCCTGAAGAAGCGTCACATCGTGGACACGAGGCAGCAGGAGCACATTCGCTCTGAGAAGCACATCATGACCGAGGCGCACTCGGACTTCATCGTCAGGTCGGCACAACAACCGTCACTCGAGGCTTTGTGTTTGATGGAAACAATGAAAGATGCTTTGCAATACATACTTTAATTCAAAGATGAATTCTTAAGTAAAATATTCAAAAACGCTTAATTGTTTTATGACATTTTGTATCAGGCAAAAAAACCTCATCAACCTCAAAGTCATGTGACCAGAGTTTAACATTGGTGTAATATTGTGTAATATTTATATTCATGCTCTTTGATATATAAACTTTGTGGAAAATTTGCAGTGAGAAAAAAGTTTTACAAAATAAAATCGTTGAATCAGATTTCTTCTTTCTGTTTCTGGCTTCTAGACGAAGCCTCGTAAAAAGTAACACAGGCTGGAGTCTGGCCAGGAAAAAATTCATGTTCGTGGGCTTTTTAAAAACCGACATAAACACAACGTAACCGTCAGAAAGATGAGCTGCTGTTGTTCTTTGTGCTCAGGTTGTACCGCACCTTTAAAGACAGTAAATATCTGTACATGCTGATGGAGGCGTGTCTGGGCGGAGAGCTGTGGACCATCCTGAGAGACCGGTACGCGTCACACTAAACTCTCATCATGTACAACTTTACATATTTTAATAAAATGTAGTAAAATAGTTATAGTACAAAACGGTCAAAAAATCTTCATTTAGAACAAAATCAATGAAACCGTCATTTGTGAAACATGAGACGAAACTTCTGATGATGTCACCTCAGACTGAAGGATCGTGTCTAACCTTTTATTGGCTAAAGCCCAAATAAGAAACGTGCACATTGCAGCCTTTAACACTTGTCAGTGAGTCGTCACAGAGGCTCAGGACGTGCTGAGAGCGCCGTCACAGCTCTTTAAACTCCGTTTCAGGGGCTCCTTTGAAGATTCCACCACCAGGTTCTACACGGGCTGCGTGGTCGAAGCGTTCGCCTACCTGCACGCCAAAGGCATCATTTACAGAGACCTGAAACCCGAAAACCTCATTCTGGACAGCCGAGGATACGCCAAGCTGGTACGCACTAGCACCTCCCTTATTTTTGACAAACAATCAGACGTAAGTCGACGAATAGCGTCAGAAAGGAGGATGCTGTAAATTTGTCATCACATTCACATACTGTGAAGAGCTCTTCGGCTTGTTTTTTTCAGGTGGACTTTGGCTTTGCTAAGAAAATTGGTTTTTGTAAGAAGACGTGGACGTTCTGCGGGACGCCGGAGTACGTCGCTCCAGAGATCATCCTCAACAAGGGTCATGACGTCTCTGCTGACTACTGGTCTCTGGGTATTCTGATGTACGAGCTGCTGACCGGCAGGTGAAGATCCAACTCGGTGCTGGACGTTTTATTTTTTTGCTTTTGTGTGTGTGGTTCAGTGTCTGCTTGTGTCTCCAGCCCTCCGTTTTCAGGTCCAGATCCAATGAAAACCTACAATGTCATCCTGAGAGGCATCGACATGATCGAGTTTCCAAAGAAAATCACCAAGAATGCCGCCAGTCTCATCAAGAAGCTCTGCAGGTAGGGGGCGCTGTCTGAGCCACAATTCACTGTTTTCATCTCCAGGAAAAGTATCTAACCATAGCTGTGCTGGCAGGGATAATCCTTCAGAGAGACTCGGAAACCTCAAAAATGGAGTCAAAGACATCCAGAAACACAAGTGAGTGAGCTGCTCACAAAACATTCTCATGAGGATGACCTTTGACCTGTCAGTCTGAATATGAGACAAATCTGTGTGTGTGTGTGCGTGCGTGCGTGTGTGTGTGCTCAGGTGGTTTGAAGGTTTTAACTGGGAGGGTCTGAGAAAAGGAACGCTGACTCCGCCCATCACACCAGATGTGAGTAGAAATAAAAATTCACTTTTTCTTCTTGAATCGTCAAAGCCTGAAGATTCCCTGCTGATTTTTAAAGTTTAAAACAACAAGTTATTTTGATTGTCTCCTGATGTTGGGAGTCTGCTTCATGTATATTTTATTTAGTCAATGGTAGTTTTCACTCGGACACAGAGGCACTTAATGACAGGTTGGTAGGAATCCTGATCATCAACTTCTGTCCCGCACTAAAAATCTGATTTGATGTTGTTCGTGCTGTAGACTGGCTCAGTATGTAGTGTTAAAATCAACCATTTTTATCCTCACTGAGAGAAAAACACTTTAGCAAAGACACCCTGGTAATAAGTCTTAAGTTTAGTTGGACATGATTTCGGTATATTCTCTAATAAATGAAAGAATCAAACTAAAACGGGGATTACCATCCCTGCTAGAACAAGTTTATAAGTGAAATTATTGAATTCCACCCATGAAAGTTAGTAAACGGACCTGTGAGTTTATCTCATCACTGTGAAACGGACGGCTCTCCATATTTACATGGACCCTCAGCCATGAGGTCAGTTTAGTTTGGGTCTTGACATTTTGTGCACATATTACTCGTGTTTTACTCCTCTCATTTCCTGTTTCTTCGTCTCTCACAAAAAGTACCAAAGAGAATGAAGGAACGTAATCGAAGGCAAATTTATATTTGGTGCATGTCCAACCGGGAAGAACCCAGATGGAACCAGGACACGCTCCAGAGACTGAACCTCTCGGCTTTTCTGGTGTAACTTATACGTATTCAAACTGGCACAACGTTAAATCTGTTGTGAAGAGTTCCTTTAGCTTCAAACAGGTCCTCCCCATCGTCACCTCGAGCTTCTCGGTCGATTTCTCTCTCCAGCCCTGTAAAGTTGTGACTTCTGTGTAAACTGTTAAAGTCATTCAAAGTTTGCTTTGATCGGTCTGCAGGTTTTAAAGGGGTTTTATTGTTTCACCTTCTGTCCAGGTCTCCTCTGCGATTGATACGAGCAACTTTGACAGTTTCCCTGAAGACACGGATGAACCACCACCAGATGACAACTCTGGGTGGGACTATGACTTCTAAAGTGGCAGCCATCAGTTTACACCAACACCCAGAGCTTGACACTTTATGAAGAAGACGATGACTTCTCAGCGGGCTGAACGAAGGCTGCGTGGGCATCTTGGTGAAATATCCTACCTGAAGTGATTGTGTTGTTCTAAGCATGGCTGTAAACTTCTAGGAGTCAAACGCTGAGGATTTGAGGACCTAGTGCATGGAAGTTTATAAAGGGAAATGGACTCCAGGCCTTTCCTTGGTCGAACTGGTCAAACTGGTCTCTGCTAACAGGAGGAACCCACCCACCATCACACCTGAGAGCAGGAAGCTGAAGCAGTTCAGGCATCAAACAAACTGCCTCTTAACATCACACGTTTGTTCTTTTTTCATATTAAGACAATGTAGGATGATTTCTCGAGACACTCGGGGCACGAAGTCAGTCCTACAAACATCTTTTGCTTTGAGGGTGATTTTCAGCAAATAGATAAAAGCATGTTTTTAACTTTTACAACAGAAATGATGTCAGCTTTTAGAAACCTGTCGGGACCCCGGGAGGTTAACGATACAGCTACAAAAAAGGATCTACAGCATAGAAAAAGTCAGTGATGCCTCTGAATATCTCATGAACCCAAAGAAGCCTGATTCCTTGTTTGGCTACAGATGAACTTTGGTCATGTCCCTCCAACAGAAGTCAAGGACCTGCGCAGCTCTATCTATATGTGCCGTTTACTGCTGCAAGAGTTTCTGTCCCATATGTTGCTGTAAAACAACTTCTTTCAGCCCTCTGAAATCAGGAAATGAGTTTGATTAACACATAGACAGTTTCTCGTTACGTTAACCGGCTGCTCCTTCAGCCTGTGTACAGCAGCCAAGACTGTGCAGCAACTTCATCCACACAATACAGAAGAAATAATTGGATGTTCCTTAGAGACAAAACCAATGCCTTGAGTTAGTGACACAGCACAGGCCTTTTTGGATCCTCATTCAACCGACACGTTTCACAGGAAGTGATGTTTACCATAGATCTGATGTCTGCTTTCATCAAAGATACCTGACATCTTGACAGTTCAACAAAATCATCCCAAAGTGTTTCTGGCAGCAATGAACAAGGCTAGATTACCAACCTACCAAAGTGGGGAACTTCTCCAAGGCCCCAGGTCCTCCGTGGTTCCACAGACCGAAGGACTTCTTTATGATAATTACTTTTAGTAACGTCAACACAAGGTTACCCTGTGAGGACTTAAACCAGAAGCCCTCCTGCATACTTCCCCTGTGACAGCATCACTTTCACAATCCGAGAACAACGTCGAGTCATCCTTCCCATACTTCCTGAAGACACTGAAGGCATCATAGTCCTGCTTTTCCTACAAGTGGAAAACTTGTGCTTCTCTCAAGTGGCCTTGATAACTGACAGTTGAACTTTTACCCCCTCAGGGGGGAGATCACTCTCCTACTGCTTGCTGTTTGATTAGGTGGTAGATTTGGAAGGTTCTGGAGACCCTCACAGAGGGCTGGAGGACGGTTATGTTCCTCTGTGGCGTGAAGAACCGCACCGAGTGAAATAAAGACAAACTGAGACCGAACACACAAACCTGAGGTCACCATGATGCCTTCACTTCCTGTTTCATTTTCTGGAACTTCAGATCCAAAGACGGATAGAAAGAAAACAATGCTGGGCGTAGTAGCGATCTTCACCCCCAAAGGATAACGGGGTAGTGATGCAAACATTTCTTTAAGCTTTCCTTTCTGTCATTCTTTATATTGTGAGTCTTTGAATTGCTGCATGAGAACTGATGTTTTGAACAATTTTCCAAGACTTCCTCCATGTTTTTTGGACATGAATTAGACAGCGTGCTTTGATTTCTTCTGAGCTGTTGGTCTGAAGACGTTTAAAACTGTGCAGGTTTCTGGAGTGTTTCCATTTTTTTTTGCAATGCATCAAAACCTTTTTGTTCAGAACACGTTAGGATGACGCGTCTACGACTTGGCGGTGGACAGGTGGAGAAAAAATAGCTTCTGTTACGTCTTCATGCTGACAGTAACTCCGTCACAAAGTGGACCTCTAGTATTGTTGAGTTGATGAGTCTGCAGTTTGTTTGCTTCCAAACATGAGATGAAAAGATCAAATTTGCAGTAATTTAAATTTGTACTGATGACGTGTTTTTGTGGCCTTTTGTAAAAGCAGCTAACAGTCTCCAGTTTGTTATGAAGTCTTTATCTTCAGAAGTCGGATTTCGCTGTGGTTTTTCTATAGAAAGATCAGTGATGTGACGTCTGTGAGTTCTGCATGACAACAACAGTATGTTCAGTTTTCACCAGCAGAGGGCAGCACACAGTCAGACTTCCACAAAGTAGCCTGTGCTGGGCTTTTCCAGCAAATATTCCAGTGGAAAAACATGAAGGTGGGAGTCCAGTGAGGGATGGAGACCTCACTGATGGTTTCTGGGATGTGGAGAACAACACCACCTACGAGCCTCGCTAATTATCAGTAATTTCCTATTATATCTGAGTAGTTTGAAGTGGAGGACGACTTCATAGTCTAAAAACCTCAAACTAGAATTTTCAATCACAGGTCATACTTTACTCAAAACGGAGAAATATCTGTTTCCTCTGACGGACTGGCTCCATCTGCTGGACAGAGCTAAAATACTCCTGATGGGGACAATCAGAGTCCGACGACAATAAAATGCACAAAACAAATAAGACACGTATTTGGACCAGAAGGAGAAATATTCATGTTTATATCAAAGTCATGATGCTTTGTGTTTGTGTGATGAAGCTCAAGTGTCATTGGTTTATTTGTATATACTGGGGATATTGTGTTTTGATGATGTTTTCAGTTGTTTGTTATTATTATTATTATTATTATTATTATTGTTATTATTACCTTTGCTACAGTGGCTGTTGCAGTAGCTGAAGAAGCCTTCTGACTCTTTCCGTCTCTCAGTGGAAAAAGCTTTACGGTGATGACTGTTAACAGAAAAACTCTTTGCCAAAGCTGCTCGATCTGTTTAAAAAAATAAAAGCTGTAAAAAAACAACGTTTCTGTTTTTTATTTATAAAATGAAGCAAAAGAAGAAAATGACATTCAAAGTTCTGACGTTGTTCCAGCCCACAACACAATAAAATATATTATTAACATGAAATATGGGAGTGTGAGGAGGGTGCACAGGTACTGGTGCATTTAGACACCTGAAGGAGGCGCAATGGTGCTTGTGTGTTTGTGAGTCCACACCGGGGTAAATGAGCCTTCAAGTGTAGCGCTTCATGACACCCTTAAGACGAGATTTCCAAGCGAGACGTGGCATCATGGCAGTTATCGTGGGATTAAATGAGCCAAGTTCTCAGCATGAACAATTAAGAATACTACATGTGAATCCAGGGTTAAATTACATCTTTATTTAAAGTGAGAATTACATTCAGGTAGAGATCACGTTTACAAAGCACGAGGAAGACAAAATAAAATGTATGAACAGCAAAGTTCATTAGTTAAAATACAAATTTACAAATGTAGGTAACATTTATAATGTGAAGAAGCTGAACATTTGTTGCTTTGAACAATAACTAGATGGATTTTAGTGAAACAGTGCTGAATTATTGATCGCAGCCAAAATAAATTCATCATTAATTATTAAATATCATCCTAAAATCACAAGTCAGGAAAGGCAGGGCTGGAAGGACGGACTCGAACCACAGACCTCAGAAACTGAACAGCAGAGATGGGTTTGCAACTTTTATTTTGAAACAACCTCCGGATGTTGTCGCCTGAGGTTGTAGATTTGTTTTCTTCCAGCAGTCAGATTTCTAATCAGTATGAAATATTAAACACGTGACATAATCCAACAACCCCGCTGATCAGCGACTTTATGTTGGTAGAAAATTGAAAATTGTTGACTTGGCGACTTTTAATTTGAAGGACAGTACCGTTCTTCCCGCCGTTTCTCCTCTGTGAGCTGATGATGGCCGTATCAGCGGAACTCCGCTCAAAAGCCGGCGTAGTGAAAGGCATGGGCGCGGGTTTCCGAGCAGATGTAAAAAATAAATGAGATTCGCGAGCTTTTCTGGAAGTATTAGGTCATATTCTGTAATTCGGCCAACACATCATCCATCTGAGAGCTCCTCTGTAAATACAGCTTCCATTTTATCCCCGCGTTTTCCCGCTTCTCCCGTCTACACGATGTGGACTGAGAGCGCTGCAGTACCACTCTCCGCCTGAAGTGAACAGAATGCCTGGGTGGGGGCGCTGTTTCACCAGATCATGACAAAAATAACGAGTAATACATTTTATGAATGGCATTTTAAAATGACCGATAAAGAAATAATTGCGAACGCTTCACGACCGTGCGTGTATTCCTCGCGCCAGTGACCATGTTAGTCTCCTCTGTTTCGTTCCCGCGTGTGTCACAGGCTGAAACACGTCACCTGTGGGGCTACTTCTGTCATATGTAGGGGCACAGGTGACACGCAGCCCCTACATATGACTTACTCACCGGTTTAAAGTTTGCAATTGTTGGGGGCGTGGCCTCTGTGACTGGCAGGTGTCGCCATGGATGCAGGATGATACAGGAAGAGGCTGACGAGCCTCCGTTTTTTATGTACAGTCTGTAAACGGTCGCGGTGTGAGCGCCTGACACGTCAAACTCGTACAGCATGCAGTGTTTCCATAGAAACGCTGTGGGGACGTGTCACTGCGTGTTCAGTTTTTGGATGTGTGAGGAGAAGCACGTAACTGCTCCTCCTCTCCTGTTTTTATGAATGAGAATTAAACACGTACTCACACACGATGATGTCAGCAGGAAGCCCCTCCCCCACCGATGCGGGAGAAGCCTCATGACCAGAGAGAGAGCGGCTTCCTCCTGTCTTCAGATGTCTCTCACCCAGCCGTCTCCTCCTCAGAGGGAGAGAGAGGGCAGACATCCCTCTCCCCCTCCTCCTCCTCTTGCATCCTTGCTCCCTCCTCTCCTCACGAGCCTGAGGATGAGTAATCCAAGCAGGGAGGAAGGGCGAGAGCTGCAGACGGAGTGAGTGAGGGAGGATACCAGCATCATCATCATCAGTGAACGTGCAGAGGCAGAGGATGAAGATTCAAACCCGTCCTGCAGGTCTCTCACTGCTGAGCGGCGTCCACCCGGGGATGGCTAATTCCTGGAGTGGGAGAGAATCAGCGGAGTGAATATTTCTGCATGCTGGTGGATTTCACCTGCACTGGCTAGCTCCTGGAGAGTGTGTGCATTTGTCTGTACGTGACTAATATCTGGAAGAGCTGGAGGGAGACGTGTTTTTCTGGATGGTGCTGGTGTAATTCCTGGAAGGGAGGCTCATTGACTTATACTTTAAAACTGTGGGATAAGACTGTTTCCTGAACACTAAGCCCCCGCTCTGTGCTTCCACATGTGACGTATCAGAGATCTGGCTAATATCTGGAGTCTTTCATTGTAACAGTGCCTCACTGCCCTACAGTCACCTCACACACACAAACACACACAGACACACTGCGCCTGGAACCTGGTTAATCTCTGGACCAGCGTGTCTGGCATGTTCTGCTTCTGCCTGCAGAGTTCCCTGCAGAAGCTCCAGGCTCTGGAGGTGGAGGGGGGGACATCGCTGGGGTCATCCCCCGAGGAGAGCCCCCCTCCTCTGGGCAGCAAGGAGCAGAAGAGCCCCCGTGGTCGGGCCGAGCTCGGAGGGAAGGAGGCGAAGACGCTGGCGCTTTGTCACGGCGTCCCTGCAGACGAGAACAGCCCGCCAGGTACACACACCTGTCAGTCTGTGTGTGTGTGTGTGTGTGTGT